TGGGAGGAAGACGGCATCCAACATGCCATCTTCTATGTTAGCAAGACCCTAAGGGAGGCCGAACTCAGGTACTCCCCTGTGGAAAAAACGATGTTAGCCATCGTTTGGACTGTCAAGAAGTTGGGCCACTACTTTCAGGCTCACCTGGTTCAGGTCCTCACCCATCAACCCCTCGGCGCCCTCATGAGGAGCCCCACCAGCTCCTCCCGCGTGGTGAAATGGGCTATCTTCTTGAGCCAGTACAACATTGACATCCGTCCAAGGCCTGCCATCAAGGGCCAAGCCCTAGCGGACTTTGTGACGGAATGTACCGCAAGAGCAGCCACGGACGGGGAGCCCTCGGCTACCTCGGACGACTGGTGGACCCTCTACACTGACGGCTCATTCGCGACCAAAGCATGCGGGGGAGGGGTAGTCCTCATTACTCCCGAGGGCTTCAGGGCCTACTATGCAATCCGCTTCTCCTTCAAAGTCTCCAACAATGAGGCCGAATATGAAGCCCTCCTATGTGGCCTTCGGCTGGCTGCCAACATGAGGGCTCGGCAGATCCACATCAAATGCGACTCCAAGTTGGTCGTTGGCCAAATATCCGAAGAATATGAGGCCAAGGAAGGAAGAATGAAACAATACAAGGAAGCGGCCAAGGAGTTGCTTAAGGTATTTGAGGCACACTCTCTCACTCAAATACCGAGGGCTCAGAACTCCGAAGCCGACATATTATCTAAACTCTCGGCAGACTCCCCCGAGCACATCTCCAAGATTGCCAAAATCGAGGAACTCAGCCTCTCAAGCATCCATGCAAGCCCCGTGATGAACATACAACAACGTCAGGAGAATTGGATTTCAGATATCACCGCCTTCATCTCCGCAGGGCAGCTACCCGAGAATGAGGCCCGCGCTAAACTGGCAAAGCTGAGGGCCCCCAGCTACACCATCGAAGATGGAAGGCTCTACAAACGATCTTACAATGGCACGCTACTTCGGTGCCTTCATCCAGATGAAGCCGAGGTCGCAATGGAGGAAGTGCACAGTGGCACTTGCTCAGCTCACCAGGGACCCTTCTCCATGTCCCGAAGGCTCATTCTCCAGGGCTACTTCTGGCCAACCATGGCCAGGGATTGTGCTGACCTCGCCCGAAGGTGCACCGCATGTCAACATTTCCAGAAAGCCCCCGGCAGGCCAGCGGTTAACTATGCCCCCATCAGCACATCTGTCCCATTTTCTCGATGGGGGATAGACCTTGTGGGCCCTCTGCCGAGGGGTACCTCCAACAACAGATACATCATTGTGGCCGTCGACTATTTTACCAAGTGGGTGGAGGCTGAACCCCTCGCCAGCATCACAGAGGCGAAGTGCCGTCACTTCGTCCTCAAGAACATCCTCACAAGGTTTGGCGTCCCCCAGCAGATCATCTCCGACAATGGAACACAATTTGAGGCAGCCCCCTTCTGCGCCCTTCTGGAGGCATGGGGCATCAAACACACCTTCTCCTCCGTTGCCTACCCTCAAGGCAACGGGCAGGTAGAGAACGCCAACCGGACCTTGCTCGAGGGCCTCAAAAAGAAGCTGGAGGCCGAGGGTGGTGGCTGGGTGGAAGAACTTCACAACATCCTCTGGGCCTACCGCACTACCCCTCGGCGCGCTACAGGTGAAACACCCTTCTCCCTCTGCTACGGTTTTGAAGCCAAAGCTCCTACGGAAGTCACCCTTCCTACCCGAAGGGTGATCCAATATGACCCCGAGGTCAATGACAGCAACATGGCCCTCGACCTGCACCTCATTTCAGAACGCCGGGAGCAGGCCTTCATCCGGGCAGAAAACTACTGAAGGCAAGTTAAAAGCTACATCGACGCCAAAGTTCGAACCCGGGAATTTCAAGTGGGGGACTATGTCCTCCGGAGGAGGGAAGCCAGCCAACAACCCGAGGGAGGAAAAATGGCACCAAAATTCGAAGGCCCCTACATCATAGCAGCCATCATCAAACCCGGGACTTACAAACTCAAACGCCCCAACGGGAAAGAGGTCCCTAGGCACTGGAATGTACACCATTTAGTTAAATTTTATCAATAATGTAAGAGCGGCCAAGCCCTCATAACTAGTGAATGTACTATCCAATGGCCCAAGGCCTCCAATTTCGAAGAATGGAGATACATTCAAGACATCAAGCCCTCATACTGACTACAGGCCCCAGGCCTCACCACAAGGAGAACCCCCTCCGGTACCCAGTGCCGAGGGCTGACACCATCAACACTTACAACAAACAATAGAAACACCACGTGTTTTCAGTCAAGACCCCTCGGCACCCAGTGCCGAGGGTACTTCCCCACCTTCAACATCAAAAAAGAAAAGATTAGAACACCAAGTGTTCCTACAGAAGACCCTTCGGCACCCAGTGCCGAGGGCACACCTCCCTCATCAAATATCGAAACGAAGAAAAAACACCAGGTGTTTCAAAGAAGACCCCTCGGCACCCAGTGCCAGGGATATGCTCTCCTAACAGCTTCCAAACATCTATTGGGAAACACCAAGTGTTTCATTTGAAGACCCTTCGGTACCAAGTACCGAGGGTAGACGCCTACATCAACTACAACAAGAGAACACCAAGTGTTCCTACAGAAGACCCCTCGGTACCAAATACCGGGGGGCTACACATCGAAACTAACACCAAGTGTTGTTTCTAAAAGCCGTACCCCACGAGGACGCATATACCGAAGGCGCCACCATCGGTGCCGGCGGCACGTAGTGCCCCCGGCCATTTGCAACTAGTGTGCAAATGAAAACCCTTCCTTGAAACGCTTTCCGCGTCACTACCCCCAGGGTATGACAGGCATGAGAAATGCCCAGGATTCGACTTTCAAAAACGGAACGCTATCCGCGTCACTACCCCCAGGGTATGACAGGCATGAGAAATGCCCAGGATTCGACTTCCAAACCGAAACGCTCCCCGCGCCACCACCCCAAGGGTGTGGCAGGCCACAGACTATGTCTAGCGTCGAGGGGACGACTTTCAAAAATGAGGCGCTTTCCGCGCCATCCCCCAAGGGGAGGCAGGTTACGGACCACCATATCTTGTGCCCAGGAAACGTCCCTCGATCCCCTCGGCACTCGGAAGGTTAACCCGAGGGAGGAGAGCCATTGGTGTATTCTGATGGTCTCCTAATAGGCCTAGCCTTACCAAGAAACCAAGTTTCTTGATGCCTTCCCTTCACCACCAACCAAAAAATAAAATAAAAATAAAAAAGGGTGAAGGGGAGTAGACTCAGCGAGAAATCAAAGAGTACACTCCAACAAAATCACAACATGCCGAGGGCCCCCCACGGGAACACCTCCGGCAATTGAAGACTCCTATTTCCCGAAGGATACTACTCAAAGAAATACCATCAGGAAACGGCTAAAGTCCACTACCTGGTCACCTCCGGTCACAAAAACATCGAAGGCTTCAACAATACAAAGGGACTGGACTGTCCAAGGTCCACTAAACGGTACTTCAAACAAACACCGAAGGCATCTGTTATGCGCAAATACCGAGGGCCCTTTCCCCATGACAAGGGTCCAATTCTACAACTTTCAAAGTGTATGCCGAGGGCACACACTCCTCATTGGCTTTCTTCACAACAACAGGATTCAACATCAATTTATGCTTAGAAAAAAATTCTAAGTCCTAAAGGTGGAGCCCCCGGCCCAATCAATATTACAGCCAAGGGAATATGGTGGCCGAAGGCCGTGCAATACAACAACACTTAAAAAAAAAGAGAGGGTATTCTGTCCTAAATGAGTAGCCCCCGGGCATCTCGCAAAGTGATGTGGAATCAGAGGGCACCCATCACCCGAAGGCACCCAAGGGAAAATTCACACTTAGAATATTTTCTAAGTCCTACATGTATTTCCCCCCCGGTCAACTACTCTTACATCAAGGAGAGATGCCATCTACCGAAGGCTCCCAAGGGGGGATTTTACACTTAGAATATTTTCTAAGTCCTACATGTATTTCCCCCCGGTCAACTACTCTTACATCAAGGAGAGATGCCATCTACCGAAGGCTCCCAAGGGGGGATTTTACACTTGGAATATTTTCTAAGTCCTACATGTATTTCCCCCCCGGTCAACTACTCTTACATCAGGGAGGGATGCCATCTCCCGAAGGCTCCCGAGGGAAAATCCACACTTAGAATATTTTCTAAAGTTCTACATGTTTTTTCCGGGCAACTACTCATACATCAAGGAGGGATGCCAACTCCCGAAGGCTCCCAAGGGAAACTCTACACTTAGAAGATTTTCGAAGTCCTACATATTTCACCCTCATCTCAAGGGACCTAATTGCCGAAGGCTACCTATCAATCGAGAGCTACGGTACACAAGGAATCAACACTCAAGAAAATTTCCTAAGTCCTAAAGAATTGGCCCCCGGCCTATTCAATATTTCAATTGGGGCTCCACAGTAGCCGAAGGCTACATGACATACTACACTTGCAAAAAATCTCTAAGTCCTGATTCCTACTGAACCCTCGGTCCAACATTCACACATCAGGAAGGGAGGCCATATCCCGAAGGCTCTCAAGGGGAAATCTACAATTAGAAATCTACACTTAGAAATCTACATTTAGAAAAATTTTCCAAGTCCTAATTGCTGCCGAACCATCGGTTGCATATCCAGCAGAGGGTGCCCAACTACCGAAGGCTCCTAAGGGCTAGCTACAATCAGATAGTATTCTAAGTCCTAAACATACATTCAGAAATACCGAAGGCATACATTCAAAGGAGAAAGCATACATTCAAAACATAAGGCGTATTCGAATATGAAAAGCCCGGAGGCAGCATGCATTTCATCAAAAACAAGAGTAAGTGTGAATTTACAAACGGGCCGAAGCCGAAGGAACAATGTTGTTCATTACAAAAGATGTTCAAAGTTTTCTAAGTACAAAATCATTCCACAACTACGGCAGCATCGTCCACTGGGGCGCCCTCTACAGCCGGCCTCGATGATGCCTCCGCTCCGGTCTCGACAGCGTCGTCCTCGGCCTCGTTCTTCAACACCGTGTCCTCAAGGTCGGGCCTCTGAACACCTTCCGGGAGCGGCTCACGAACATCAGGCTGCAAGGGGGGAAGACCATACGCCGAGGGGGAGAAGTCCTTTTGCTCGATGCCCAAATGCCGGGCCATCCTCCGGTAGATGAGGGCCTGGGTGAAGAACTCGCCGGCTTCATAGTACTCTCTGCCCTTCCGGGCCATCCATTCCCACCCAGGGCCCTCGGCCCATTCTTCAACGCAGGCCTCCACGACCGAGGACACCCACATCTTGCGCCCCTCGGCTCTCCAACCCTCGGCGACAAAAGCCTCAACGGCCTCCTCCTGAGCCCTGGCGACAGCTAGCGCTTTGGAGTCCTCGGCCTCTTTAGCAGCTCTCCTGGCGGCGGCCTCAGCATCAGCCTTGCCTTTCTCTGCAGCCTCCAGTTTCAAGCTCATCTGCCGGAGCTCCCCTTCTAGCTGGGCCCCCAGCTTCACCGCCTCCTGGTTCTTGAGGAGGCACTCCCTCATTCTGGCGTCTTGCTCCGCTCTGTGGAGGCGCCATTCTTGAAGCCTCCGAGCCTGTTCGCCGAGGGCTAAGCAAGCCTGCAGAACAATAACAAAAACAGTTAAAGGCAATCGCACAAAAATAATCAAAGGAGAAGATGGAGAAAGCCAGGTGAACACTTACCGAGAGGGAGGAGCGGAGAATGTGGTCCTCAAGGGCCGCATCATTGTAGGCCCCGAGGGCAGCCCTATCCATCTCAGGGGTCATACCCCTCAGGATGGCCCCCGGGTCGACGGCGCCGCTGGCCAAAGACATACCCCTCGGGAACGCAACTGTGAGGATCTCAGGCAGCGACTCCTCTGCCCCCGCCGGCGTTCCAACCGGCAGCTTCTCCACTTGCGCCCCGGAGGCGGGGGGCTCATCAGCGATAATGACCGAGGGCTCCTTCTCGGCGACATCCCCCTTTTTCGGCTTTTTGGTAGCCGGGGGGGGACCCCTTGGCCACTGCCTTCCTCTTGCCGGCAGCGGCATCGCCCTCGGCTTTCTTAAAGAGGGCGGTGGCGGGCTTCTGGATGCCCTGTCCCGACCCCTTCGGGTCCTGTTTCTTCAAACGGGCAAGGCCCTTTACATTCACCATGGAGACGGGGATACCTGCACAGAGGAAACAAAGGGTTAGTCCGACGGGTCTAAGCGAAGGGACGATAACATCCAAGAAAGAAAAAAAAACTAAGTACAAAATTCTAAAGCCCTCGGCTCCTACCTCCGGCCCCTCCGAAGGCCTTGTTGAAGGGAGGGTACTTTTCATCGGTTTCCCCTATGAAGCGGTACCTCCGGAACCCGAGGGTGTACAAATCCTCCTCGAGGGTGCAGTCTTTGATCGCCACGTTCTTGTCTTTCCCCTCCGGGAACTTGGCCAGCTTTAGGCCGTCCTTCTCAAAAGCGGCACTCCGGATCTTTTCGTGCCTTCGGAATCGGTCACGTAGCTCCCTCGGGAAGGGGCTCTCATCCAACTTCACGTAGCACCAACGTTCCCTCCATCCTTTGTTGGAAGAAGGAGCATCGGAGAATAGTTTGAAGCGGGCAATCTGCTGCAGGTTGGCGTACCCCTCGCCGTTTTCGTGCCCCCCCGGCACAGATTAAAGCTCTGGAAGAATAGATCCAGGCTGGGTTTCACCCCTCGGGACTTGCAGAGCTGGAGGAACCCCGCAATGTAGGAGTGGTTGTTGGGCGTGAGTTGGCAGGGGACCAAGCCAACAAACCGCAGATATTCCCGGAGGAATGGGTGCAGAGGGAACCTGAGTCCCATGGAAACCGAAAGGACGTGAATAGCAATACACCCCTCGGGCGCCCTGGACAACACGTCGTCAGGACCTGGCTCCACCACTTCGGCCGAGGGCCCCACGTGCAGCTGAGTCACGTATAGATCTGCCCTGTCGGCCTTCGACCTGATCTCGAGGGCCTCAGTGTTCAGCCAGCTGTACCCCTCGGGCATGTCTACGGGCTTTCCTTGATCGACGGCCCTCTCCTTCTTCTTGGTAGCGGCCTTCTTCTTCTTCACACCGGAAACCGCCCTCAGAGGTATCGGATCCAACGGCCTCGAGCTACTGGCCTCCCCGGAACCCCGAGGGGGGAGAACAGCAATCGTAACCTTCGAGCTCTCCTTCTGTGCCTCATCCTCCGCTGTCTGCCAGGCGAGGGCTAAGTCTTCATCATCGCACTCCTGCTGGAAGCCCTCGGCTTTAACCTCCGCAGTGAGTTCCTTCTGGACCTCCCGGGCCAGGGCCGCATCACCACCATCCGAGGGTTGTCCACTGCTTGACTCCACGTCAGAGATGCCTTCGTCCTCCATCGAGGGCGTCCTCGAGATATCTTGAGAATCACTCTCGGACGACATTCGTGCTCTAGTTCGAAGGCTCGTACAACTAGTGTTTTCTAAATGTTCTATCTCCTAGCCTAGGGGCGCAGTACAGGTAGCTAAGAGGTGAAGGGTAACTGGAGAACTGACCTTAAGAACAGAGGATTCAACCGGGGGCTGCTGTTTCTCTCTCTAGAAAAATGGGCAGAGCTTCGCTAACAGGTTTTTCGCGCACAGAGGAATGCCCGGCCTTGGGGTATTTATAGGCGATGAATCCGGGCTTGGGCCTGGATTCCGGGCCTCCGGATGGACGCCATCATTACACACCGCCGTTTCACCCAACCGGTGACGCCGCCCACGGACAACCAGCCTTCACACGCCACGTGTGCCACCCCCCCAACGGCTATATCCTGTCGTTACATATTCCAACGGCTATATTTTCAACGGCTATATTTTGGGAACCCCCGGGTTTTCTACTTCACTCCACTTCATCAAAGATAGCCTCCGGGTGCACTCACCCAGAAGTGCCCCCGAGTTGTGCCCCACACAGCACATTACATAAGCCTTCGGGATCACCCCTTCATATCCTAGGGCTGCATATCAGGGCACCCCTCGGGGCTTCCCCCTCAGCACTACAAAACCGGGTAGCCCCCGGGGAGTGCCTCATTGACGGATGGCCCATGGCACACAGGTAACGGGAGCCCTCGGGTATCTTCATCACCAACTCATCAACAAACAGTGGGCCCCCCCGGTAACAACTTCACTGCTGCCCTCATCTGGAAGGCCCTCGGTCCCTGGATTGAAGGGCTCCCCTTCGGCACCACCAGGACATCAACAGCAAGCCTTCGGCTAATCAACACAGGAGCCCTCAGAAGAGAGAGCCTTCGGCATTCCCGCCATTCTCCATTTTTTGCCAAGGTTTGACATTTTCGTTTCATCATTGGGGGAATTCGGTGCACTCTTTTTCCCTCATTAGGATTTTTTTCCCAAAGGGTTTTTCCTAATGAGGTTTTTAACGAGGCATCCCCCCAAAATGAAACGAAAAGCGTCAGCCTTCGGCCCACAACAGCAACGTAACTACTTCACTCCTTTTCACCACTTTACAAGTGCCTCAAGGAGTGGGGGACTGGAGGACCCCTTCGAGAAAATCATTAAATTACAAAATCTGTGAAATTCCAACAAACAACAAAGCAAGCCCTCAAGTCCCGACATGTGGGTAACTAAGGGACCGCCTTCGGCAGGGACATAAAAGCAACAACTCCTCACCAACTTCAGAGATCACAACGGGACAACATCAAAGGGCAAGCACAAATTACTCCTTTTCCCTCAAGTACCTTTCGGCAAAAGGAGTGAGGGACTCCTGATGGAGTATATGGCCCGGGAACCCCCGGCCCACAGACTCCTACTACTCCAGCAAAGGCCCAACATGCCCAATTCACAGCGCCCGGAGTACCAAGCAGTCCGCACAACGCACAGGGGTGCCTTCGGCCCCCTGGCCGAAGGCTCCAAATTCTCACAGAACGGGTTTCTCAAGCAAACTAAGAAACTGGGAGAAAACGGCGAAAACAGCAGCCCTCGGCACTGTGAGCCATCGGCACCAGGGGTGCCATCGGGAGGAAGAGCCCTCGGCTACTGCTCTATAGCCGAAGGCATCTCACTCGACAAGATATCCGCCTCACATGCGTACAGATCACCGTATTCTGCACAGACGTCCCATCCAACAGCCGCATTAAATGCGGCCACATGCGGCTGCCAGCGCCAACCAGTTGAGGTGACCCCTCGGCCAATGAGCGCTTGACACGTGTCCCTGCCCGGCATTTATTGCTGCTATAAATAGCACCCCATTTCCTCATTTGTAACCACGCTGAAAAGTCATAACACGCTGAAAAGCCATAACACGCTTAATACATATCGAATATACACTCTCTCTCTTACTTACTTGCTCTGACTTCTCTCTAAATTACTCCCCGTAGTAACCCTTCGGATATATACCCCCGGGTAGACTATCCATCAACTGCCATGTTAGTCCCATTTCAGAAATAAAAACAAAGTAGTCATATTTTGGAATTTTAAATTTCATTTACTCCTATTTTAGGAAATCTCCCTTGATATTATCATTGCTGTTAGATTATATCTCTGAAATAGGGACCAACAGAGTTCAAATAAGATGCCTGAATTTGAGCTAAAAAAATATTTTTAAATTTTGATAAAATATATTTATACATGAAAATGAATAAACAAATAAATAAATACTTAAATAAATAAATTATTAATAAATAAATTAAATAAATTATTTTTATACGGAGTAGTTATTTATTTATTTATATTAAATAAATAAATTATTTTCCTAGATAAACTTTAAAACGTCTTTTAGTTAAGAATATAATATTTTTAATAATTTTAGTGTTGAGTTATTATAAATTATTTTTAATTACATATCAAAAATTAAGTTTTTAATCATAATTTTTAAATGGGTTTTTATTTTTTAATTGGACATCTAAAATTAGAATTTTATTATATTCTTTAATTATTTGAGAAATAAAAAATATATTTTGGAATGAGTAATACACGATTAAACTAGTAAATTCGAGAACTTCAATTATATATATGTTAAATACAATTAAATTGGCAAAATTAACAACTCAACATTGTAGTCCAATGGTTGTAGTCCTAATACAAAGTTGAGAGGTCATGAGTTTAACTCCCTCTAGCAACATATTTTTATACTACCCAAATTCGGTGATATAGAATGACTAGCGAATGATGTGACATAGGTGACGTGGCAGGTTGGATGACATGGAGAAAAAATACCCTAGTTTGAGAAATAAGTTTATTTTTTATACTACCCAAATTCGATGATATTAAATGAGTCAATGACTAGCGAATGATGTGACATAGGTGACATGGCAGGTTGGATGATATGGAGAAAAAATACACAAATTTAGAAAATAAGTTTAAAACTACTCTAATTTAGAAAATAAGTTTTAGAAGTACCTTCTTTGGGGGGAAGTACCGTTCCGCATGTGATCAGCCCCACAATAACGAAGCGGGACGCAATCTCGTCCCCGTACATATCATTCATTTTTCTGGCCCTATTTGTGTGGTCTTTTTCGCGTGTCCCGCTGGGCGTTGACTTACAAGCTCCAACGACTTTTCTACCCGACGACTTTATAGCCGAACGCTTTTTCCAGTAATTCATCTCTTCTTTGACTTCAGAAATGAATTAATAATAATTGAATTTTATAATGCGTAGTAATACAGCCTCTCTGAATAATTCAATCACTCACAATTTTTCCGGGTTTTATATAAAAAAATCAATTAATAAAATACAGATTGTTTTTTATTTTTTAATTTATATTTCTAGCTAAATTTTTATTTTTGTGAGTAATTATTCAATATCATTACCATGAACCCATGATTCGTTGGAGAAGATAAAAACAGTCCACTGCATTTTCATCTCTTAGCCTCAGATTCATTGAACGTGGACGGATTTCCGACCCGGTTCGGTTCTTTTGACCGTCCAAAAGGCATTTTGGTGATCCACATACAGAGCATATAAATTTACCCATTTTCACTCTTTTCTCTGTTTGATTGCCTTTCTTCTACCGTGAGCTGAATGGGGTGGGGCCCCCACTAGATTTCTCGCACCTGACGTGTCATCCACTATCAATGGCGTTCAAGAAAGGCTTATCAAGGATGGAGGTAAGAAAATGCGCCCTTTTTTGGCGTGTGTATGTTTTTTATTCCCTTTGATCCAAGAATGGGGTTATTAAAAGGTTGTTCCTAAATTAATTTGTTGTTATTCCATGTCTGTTCGAGGTTTTTGGCTGTTAAAGGGAATCTTTTTTGGGATTATCAGAAAGCTGCCAAACAACTTTTAGCCTGCTAATTAATGTTAATTTGTTCATATTCAAGAGAACATGGGTGGATACTTTTGGTGGGATAAGTTTAAAAGATTTTTAGAAGGTGAAGAGCTGCATCAGTACATTTTGGGGAAATCCTGTCATGCATTACAATGAACACTTCTGAGAATTATTCTACATAAATGGTTGAAGATGCTGAGTTTTCTGAGTAAAATGTGTTTGGTATAATACTTTTCGAACAGATTGGTTAAATCAAAGGTTATTTATTCTCCTTATTTTGCTAGTAAACAAATACACCTATTGATGCTGCCAAACCGGGCCTGATTTGAGCTAATGTTTCCTTGCTGTGCCCCCATAGCCAAATGTGGTTGAATTAGACATTTATTTATCCAAAAAGGTTAATCCCCAACCTCAAGGGCTCCCAAACATGACTCGACAAAGCATATGAGAAATTGTAAATCATGATGTCTAAAGGTGGTAAACCTTGGTTATTCTTCAAAATTTTCCACCACTAGACCAACTGAGCTACCCATGCAGGTTGAATTTTGTTCTCTGATTTTTAGTTCACACTTCACATGGGACAAACATATTAAAAGGACAAATCAATCCCCTCTTTCAAAATTCTTTTTTCTCATCATCTTCACTTAAATGTCTAACATTTATTAACACTATAAACTTATAAGAAGACAATTGGCAAAGTTTTATTCTTTATGTTGCAATCTTCTAAAGGAAGGAATAATGGGCTGAAATCCTAAGACTGTATTGCCCCAAGATTGATGCATAAAGTGAAGACCATATAATTCTCGTGCTTTCTTTTTTCAATTGGAATTTGGAAGACCATATAAATATAAAATACTACCTCTGTCCCATAAAACTTTGTCAAAATTGACCGGCACAGAGAATAATAAAGTAAAAACTGTGTGGTTAAACAGAAACCATAAAATAATTGATTAAAAGGGAAAGTGACAGAGTTTTTGGGACGTCCCAAAAAGGAAAGATGACAAAGTTTTAAGGGACGGAGGGGTATGTTTAACTTCAACTCTTTTCATATTTATATTGATCATGGTAGGTAGGTTAGGTAGAGTTACATAAGTGAGTATGAAATGATGACAATCGTGTGGTGGGGGTAGGGAATGAATAGGTCTTGAGATGGTGATAGTAAATGAAAGGTCATGTTTGTGACTTTGTGTTCCGAATGAAAAAGGCCGACGGAAAACTGATTTACATTGTTCCTTAAAGGTGGAATCTCCCACCCCATGAGCCCCTACCCGACCCGACAGGATGGTGGGGAGGTTAGTCACGGTGACTCAGTCAGCAGAATAACAGTAGGGCCATACATCCGTGCGCACCAGAGGCTCAGCCTTATTTCAGGTTCTGTGAGCTCCACCCGGTCGCTGCGGGGATTCGAACCTTGGTCCATTGTTCCAAATCTCCCACCACTCGACCAACTGAGTTACCCGTGCGGGCGGAAAACTGATTTCCATGTATGGAAGAAAGGCATATGTTCTTTAGCTTTAAAAAAGCAATTTTTTCAAGAAATAAATTATAATTTTTTAGTTTTGGAGGTCCTAAGTTCTTGCAGTACTTAAAAAGGAATGAGTAAATTCCCTAAATGGGACTAAAAGAATACAAAAACGCAAAACTAGGACTATCATATTTTTTTTGGACTTTTTTAGGACTAAATTGGAGTAGCTTGACAAAATTACCCTTAATATTAAAACTCCGGTACGCAGTACACATCGCAGCAAACCATTCTCCTATGAACTGCAGCTCCGCCACCGACTATGGCCTCGCAACGCACCTCCTCCGTCGACCGCAGGTAATCTCCTCCTCCTCCTCCTCTTCTTCGTCTTCTTCTTCTTTCTTCTTTCTTCTTTCTTCTTCTTCTTCCCCTGGTGCACTTCTCCCCCCTCCTGCACTCTATTTTCTTTTTTTTTTCTATTCATCTACTACCTTTTAAAGTTCTGTTTATTGATTGGGATTTTTTTGGATTTGAATTTTATTTATTTTGAAAAATGCCACTTTTATAATCTGAGAATGTCAAAACTATTGGTTATTTGAAAAATCTGCTACATTTGTGGCAGTATATATATATCAAAATGACAATATGAAAATGTCATATGTCTATAAGAAAATGTCATTGTTATGACATTTTATGGCATTTTTATGGCTTATCTGATAATGACATAACTGAGAATGTCAGTTTTTATACGAAACTTCCAGCATCATGTTATTATTCTTGACATTCTCATTGGAGGTCTGCAAGTATGAAACTTGGGATTTTGATATTTTTAAGATTTCAAATTAATAAATAAAATTCAAATCCAAGAAGAAGAAGAAAGAAGAAGAAGAAGAAAAAGAAAAAGGAGATGAAGAAGAAGAAAAGGAAGAAGGGGAGAAGATTATGTACCTGACTTGGCTGAAGAAGAAGAAGAAAGAAGAGGGTTGCATTTCATAGCGGACGGCGTGGTTGCGTTCAATCGCAGACGAAGGGCTGCAATTCCATGGCCAGGAGAGAAATTGCAGATTAACTGGAGAAGAATCGGTCGATTGGGTTTAATACATCAAGGTCAAAATTGTAATCTAAAGTCCTATTTAAGGAATAATAAACTTAATGTCCTATTTAGGAATTTTGACAATGTTTTAGTCCTATTCAGGGCAATTCTTTCAAAAGGAATTACACCCCTTTATTTCAGTTAATACTCAATTATAAAGGTCAAGCAGCACACCTCTTTGAGGTCAATGCTTTGCCTCAAATGCGAATCATCACCAGTGGATGATTCTAACTTAGTGGCTGAATTTGACCCAAATTGCAATGAAAATGTAGTTTGGTAATTGCCTTTTGAAAGACTTGAACTTTCAAAGTCTTCAGAATCTTCCAACTCATCTTAGGCATTTTTTTATGTGTGAACGGCTGGCTGCATTTCCCCCCCTTCTATTTAAGGACAACTAAAACTGTTAGTCATGGCAATGGTGTAGGAATAATTTCCGTGATTCAAAAATGTGTTACGGGTATTTATTTTATTAAATGTAGTTTGCTTGCTATGTTTACTATATTTGACCACGCTGATGGATCAAATGCAGGAGAATTAAGATAGAGATTCTTTTATTTATAAGCTTGGGAAATATATTAACATACAGTGGAGACAGGCAAAAGAGAAGAGATGGACATAAGGAGTTTATCATCTTCTCGACATGAAAACACACCGTATATTCACAAGGTGGGGGCCCCACGAAAAGAGAACCTATTTAAGGAGATCAAGGACACGGTGAAGGAAACCTTGTTTGCAGATGATCCATTTCGGTCGTTTAAGGATCAGTCAAGGACTCGGCAGTTCATCCTTGGCATGCAAGCCATATTCCCCATTCTTGATTGGGGAAGAAGCTATACCCTTGCGAAATTCAGAGGTGATCTCATTGCTGGTCTAACCATAGCAAGCCTATGCATTCCTCAGGTATAAAAAATGCTATGATGTATTGATGATGATGATGATGATTATTTACATCAACAAATGTTTAGGTTTGAGGTCTTGTTTGGTAATTGTTATTCAGCTGAATTTTCTGAAAGAAAAAACATTTGGTAACAAACCTTTCAGCCAAACAAGCCTAAAGCTACTTATTCTGCTTAATCCATTGATATGCAGAATAAACTACATGAGTATACCAAAAGGACCCTAAACTATTCATATCTAATTTGCTACTTGTTTACAATTTGTTTAATAGGACATTGGCTACTCGAAGCTCGCAAACTTAGATCCTCAATATGGACTATGTAAGAGTCTAATGCCCTTTTCAAATCTTTTTAGGTGATTTTACTATGTCTTTTTTCTTTTTCTTTTTGCTGACAATCTATTATAATTCTGTTATGTAAGACTCAAGCTTTGTCCCACCATTGGTTTATGCATTTATGGGAAGCTCAAGAGATATAGCCATAGGACCAGTGGCTGTTGTGTCACTCTTGCTGGGAACTATGCTTCGTAATGAAATCGATCCAACTAAAAATGCAAGAGATTATAGGAGGCTCGCATTTACTGCCACTTTTTTTGCTGGCATCACACAAGCTATCCTAGGGATCCTCAGGTGAATATTTTTAAGTTATCCCACACTGATAGAATACAAAAATACAAATTAACTTGTAAGGTCTTGTGTTAAGTATTATTATGATTGTGATTCTTGTGTTTGCCTCTGTCAGATTGGGGTTTCTGATCGACTTCTTGTCCCATGCTGCTGTTGTTGGTTTCATGGGCGGTGCTGCCATTACAATAGCCCTCCAACAGCTAAAAGGCTTTCTTGGAATAGAGAAATTCACAAGAAAAACAGATATTGTTTCTGTCATGAAGTCTGTATGGGGTTCAGTCCATCACGGAGTATGCATTATTTGTCCCCCTCAGCTCCCTTTTTACCAACAAATTTTCCCAAGTATATTAAATAGTTACTGGTTGACCTTTTTATGTTCCATTATGAATTTGCAGTGGAATTGGCAGACCATTCTGATAGGGGCATCCTTTTTAGCTTTTCTCATGGTTGCAAAGTATATTGTAAGTAACTTTTTTATATGCGTGTTAAGGTTGCTGAGGTTAAGGTGAAGTCCTTTCTAGTGAGATTTAACTATTTATCTGCAGGGGAAGAAACACAAGAAGTTTTTTTGGGTGCCTGCAATTGCTCCCCTGATATCAGTCATCCTCTCCACATTCTTCGTTTACATTACACATGCAGAAAAGAGAGGAGTTGCGATTGTAAGTGTTTACATATTTTGCCACTTCTTTTATCTTGCATTCTTCTTTAAGTGCTGAATATCGTTTTGGCCAGGTAAGACGCATTGAGAAAGGAATCAACCCTCCATCAGCGAATGAAATATATTTTTCTGGAGATTATCTTTTGAAAGGAGTGAGGATTGGCGTGGTAGCAGGCATGATTGCATTAACAGTAAGTTAAAATTGTCATTGGAACTAATTAATGATCAACCCCAATGGTTCTCTTCTCAAGTGGCTGGGTTTTCAGGAAGCTGTGGCTATTGGGAGAACATTTGCTTCCATGAAAGACTATCAATTGGATGGGAACAAGGAGATGGTGGCACTTGGAGTGATGAACATTGTTGGCTCAATGACCTCCTGCTATGTGGCAACAGGTGACACAATTAATATGAAAATTCATACACCATTCTCGTTGAGACGATTGGAACATATAATATGAATAACTCTACTGAATATAAACATACTTTAAAATAGGCTTTTAGACAGTTTGGCTATATCTATCAAGTCATCTGCCAATTATAAAAACACAAGCTTGCACATAAGGCTTTGGACCATTCCTCGTGGTACCAAAGTCTTAGTAATATCAGAAAAGTGCCAAACAGGCTCTTAATATGACGCTGCAATGTGCTTGTTGCAGGTTCCTTTTCCCGGTCAGCTGTGAACTTCATGGCAGGTTGCAACACAGCGGTTTCAAACATTGTGATGTCCTTAGTTGTATTCCTAACTCTGGAATTCTTGACCCCCCTCTTTAAGTACACGCCAAACGCAATCCTTTCTGCCATCATCATCTCTGCCGTGATTAGCTTAATTGACTATGATGCAGCAATATTGATTTGGAAAATAGATAAGTTTGACTTCATCGCTTGCATGGGGGCATTCTTGGGTGTGGTTTTTGTCTCTGTTGAGATTGGTCTTTTGATCGCGGTAAGCACAATAATCATCATATGCTAAAGAAATTGTATGTCTAGAAAACGATCCTTTAGTTGCCTAATGTTGCAATTTGATTTTTTTAAATGAGCACAGGTTTCAATATCCTTCGCTAAGATTTTGCTGCAAGTGACGAGGCCACGCACAGCCATTCTTGGAAGGATTCCCAGGACAAATGTATATAGGAATGTGCATCAATACCCTGAAGCAACTAAGGTTCCAGGTGTATTGATTGTGAGGGTTGACTCTGCCATTTACTTTTCAAACTCCAACTATATAAGGGAGAGGTAATATTTGTTGAGGCATCTTGAAATGCTAAAGAGAAACATATAGTTTATATGACCTTGAGTTAGGAGATAAGCTAATTGATTGGATTCAACCTTTTAGTTTAGTGACCATGTGCAAAAACACTTTTGACTCTTAATATATGCATTTGGCAGATTACTGAGATGGCTGATAGATGAGGAAGAGAACTTGAAAGCAGCTTCCCTCTCTAGAATTGAGTTTTTGATCATCGAGATGTCACGTAAGTTGATAGTAAACAGATCAGATCCAATCTGTTAGTATGATTTGACCCAAGTGTCTTATGACTTGGTTGAGTTGGTTCAATGACCCTAATCCTAATTACTATCATAGCAAAACATCTTGTACTAGGAGATGGCATTCTTGTCATGATTTATGTTTTTTTGTTGCAGCGGTTACCGACATAGACACTAGTGGCATTCACGCATTGGAAGAGCTGCATAGTAGCTTGCAGAAAAGAGATGTTCAGGTACCACATATATATCATATCATAACTAAAAAATTAATCATATGTGATTATATTGTAAATTTGTAATGATTTATATTTGATATTAAGACAACAGTTGCATTCTAAAAGGTCAAACTAATAGGATGTTAGCTAAAGACTATGTTCTTTTTATCTTTATATTTTATGGGAATGACATGGTCTAACCACTTGCGCAATTGTGTTAAAAAGCTGGTTTTGGCCAACCCCGGAGGAGCTGTTATTGAAAAGCTGCATGCATCCAACTTCCCCAACCTCATTGGCGAAAACAAAATCTTCTTGACAGTACATGATGCTGTGGTGACTTGTTCTCCGAAACTGCCGGATGTGTAAGGGGTGTTGTGGGTGAAAAGTGTGAGTGAGCTATATAGAAATGTTACAGATCATGATAACAACAAGCTAGAGTAGGCTTATGCATTACTTCCTAGAGCTTATTGCCTTGTTCAGTAGTGCATGGTGGGGTGGGTCATCATTCATCAAGAATGTGACTGATAGATAACACGACATGCCACATATCAAGAATTGGCACTTGTGTTATATGGAAGGTGTGTTTGAGTAAGTGATATACAAATTTGTTGTATGATGATCTGAAAACATTGTATTTTGATCAGTGTGTTCCAATCCTTGTTTAATAAAATGCCATTTTGAAGTGATTGGGATATTGCTTTATTTTCACGTTTGGGGCTATTTTTTGCATTTAAGAACGCTCCGCCAAACACTTGATATGTAAGTATGTCATTCAACACAACAGTTTTTAGGACCAACCAAACAATCATCTTCTAAAGTGGTACAACTTTGCAGGCAGGACTGTGTTCAATGCAGTCTGTAGAACCAAATGACCTAAAATCCTAAATGATGTACATCAATTGTATCCAGTCATAAACTAAGATTATCATAAATAGAGGGAAAACAAAGTAAACATTCTTTTCAGATCAATAAAATGACAGTATAATACATTGAAAAAGGATAGAAAACACTATTTCCCAATGCAGAATTTTCCAAATATGCTAGTCAATATCTCTTCTGAAAAATCATCTCCACTAACTTGCCCAAGGGCCATGGCAGCTTCTCTCAGATCAATCGTCCAAAAATCAAGGGGAAGCTCCTCCTCCATTGAAGATTTGAGCCTACTGAGTGCTTCCCTGGCCCGAATCAGCTGCTCCCATTGCCTCTGTTTGTTATCACCATTTTACCCTCATTCAATTTCATGCATGTGTGCGGTACTATTAATCATGAGGTCGAATGGCATAAAGGGTACCTCAACTAGGGGTATTGATGTACTTTGATACCTTAACTATTGAATGAATTAAATCAATAAGGTACATACAGACATACAGTTAATTGTTCCAGTCGATGGTACTATATTTCAGGTATGTTCCCAAAATGTTTATAAGCAAATGTAATTAAACAACCAAATGTTACCATTCATTGGTTGAGAAAATTAAAGGTACAAAGGATACTAAACTTTATTCCCTCATAGTCAAAGTATACTACTTAACTTTATTCACCAATAGTCAAAGTATATAAATACTTCAAGGATGGTTTAACAAACCTGATTGATGGTCCATTTACGCCCCCCAGCGGGAATTTTGTCTAGACCCACAATCTCAACTATCGCAGCCTCCAGATCTTGAATTCCTTGACCTGTGAGCGCACATGTAAAGATCTTCTTGTTGAAGGAAAAGCCACCACCAAATGCATCCACCAATTCAGAAGTAGACGGTGCACAGTCTATTTTGTTGACTACCAGAATCATTGGACAATTGAATCCACAAGATGTAGTCTGCCATTTATTTAGAGAAACCACATATATTCACCTCATAGATCCAAAAATCATTTCTAGTATCACAAACATAAAACAGAGCAAAAATAAGGTGTATCAGTTGTAAAACCTTGTTGCTTATTCTTTCAAGAAGTGCAGCATCATCTGCAGTCCAACCCTCACTAGCACTAACAGTCATTATAATTACATCAGCATTTCCAGCAGCCCTTTCAGACCGCTCCATGCCTAGGAATAAAGATATATATATATAAAAGACATTGTTAAATTGGGCCTAACTCGTTCAAACTTTCAAAAAGATCCTTTGGAAATTGGAAGTGAGATTTACCTTAAACATACTTCATGTCCCAAATACTAATCGTTTTAGAAAAGCTCACACAAATTAAGAAACATTGCCAGACTCTTTTACCCGTAAAAAGTTTAACATTAAAAACATCTTATTTTTTCAAAGCACCAAAACATTTAATGAGAAAAGAGTTAATATGCACACATTTGAGATATTACTATAAAATGTGTGTTGTTTTTCTAAAATGAAATATATTTTTTGGGACAAATATATATATATAAACTTCAATTCAAACAGGTTTTCTAGAAAGAAAAAATAAATACCGATTTTCTCCACTGGATTATCAGTTTGCCGTATGCCGGCTGTATCAAGAAGGATTACAGGGATACCACGGACAGAAATATTAGATTCTATCACATCCCTTGTCGTTCCAGCAATATCTGTAACTATTGCTCTATCACTCTGCATGCTAAATAAGCCATATAATAAGTCATACAATTAGCATTATATCGTTCCATCTAATGCTTATGACAACTTTTGAGAGCCTCACTTCTGATAAAGAGCTTAAATAAATATGAAACAATTGGAATAATAAAAATAATCAATCAGCAGAAAATGACAAGACTGTAGTTGGTCAACTACAAATTTGAACTACAGAAAGCATTAACAGTTTGCTATGTTTAGTAATGCACATATGTTTATGTCCAACAACAATATAATGAAGTCTGAAAACTAGAGAAATAAAAAAATCGTAACGTACTTTGCTCCATGCATTTAAAAGGCTTGATTTTCCGACATTTGGTCTACCAATTATTGCTATCTGTGACAAGTATGAAAACTTAATTAAAGCAAAAGCATATCAAAGCAAAGCGAGAGACCAAAAGCATGAGAAATGAGTTTGCATAGGACCTTTTAAGGTCTACTTGGATGGAGGTTTTTTTCTAGCTGGGGGCTTTGGAAAGCTTAGTATAAATATTTATAAACAGAATGTTTCTCAGAACTAATACACAGTTATTGAAATGTTATACAGTCATACTATTTTAACCTTTCAATTTTTAAAATCTTGAATTTATATCTAGATATATGCTAAGTGCCTAAGCCGTCCAATTTTATTCCGTCCAAACACTGACAAAACCCTCCATCCAAGCAGTCCCTTGAGCTCCCCAGCAACAAACTTCAACCGTATGTGTGCATTGACCAAAATATGCTAAGAATAAGCAAGTAAACGTAGGGAGAAAAAAAAAGAGAACGGCATAAAACATTCCTTGGTAGGACCTACCAACAATGCAATTAGAACAAAGGAGAAAATGCTGACCCATGAAACATTCTCTAGTGTGGATTATACTAACTATTATTATTTTTATTAATATTACTGCCTTTTAAATTTGTGTGTTAATTGTAATCATGGGTTAGTGGTTGGGGTTAATTAAGAGCCCGCTTGGTAACCCCTATTTTCAATTTATCAATCAATTTTTTTTCAACTACTTAAATTTTTACTTTTCCGTGCTAAATTGTGTTATAATCAAACTAAGGCTTGAGTTATTTTTTGGATGAAATGGTTGATTTTACTCAGGAGAACTAATTAGCTTTTTCCATATAATGTTCTCTTTATGTTATTAATAAAATACAGAGTTTATTTTAGATAGAATTTTTTTACAATCCCGCAAATTAAGCCAGAATTTCAGCGATTTTAGCCGATTCCGATAATATTACCAAACGGCCTCTAGAAGTGCTTCATGCACATAATAGCAGTTTAAGATGATGGATCCACTTTTCTAGGGTCGGTAACAAAATTGCATTCAAGCAATAATGTAGTTCTTCTCTGCTTTTTCCCATTGAAGTCTTCGTATGATTGGAGCAGTTGGTTTCTGCTTTAAGATTCATTATTGTCATATTATGTGATCGGGAAATCAAGACTGTTTGGGGGTGAGCTTGTTTTCTACGATTAAGTAAACCTGTAGCCCAGATTGCAAAAGTTTGTCATAGTTAGCAGTCTCCAGTGCACTTTCAACATTTCTCATCATCCCATACATTTTATCCATAATTGCATCCAAATTAAGAGGTGGCATCTCATCATCAAAGTCCAAACGTGCTTCAATCTCAGTAAGCAACTCAATGCACTGCATCCTTAGAGATTTGACCAAAGAAGATAATCCTCCCTGTCCATAAAAGAAATTCTTAGTCAGACAAACAGGATATGTTCAGTCTGAAGTCTTAATATTATATTCATGAATTAAATAGTGATAAGATACATATGAACTAAAAAACAGAACATAACACTCATATATAAGAAAACCTGTATTCCTGCCAACGCAGCATCAGCAGCAGCCATTGACTTAGCTGATATAAGCTTTCCAACATTCTCAGCTTGAGAAAGGTCTAAGCGCCCATTTAGGAATGCACGAAGAGTGAACTCACCTGGCATGATGAAACGTCAATATTTTACTCTGATAATATCTTATTTTCTTCTAGCATTGATGCTTTCATAAATAGGCAGCTTAGTTATGCACCACTTATAGTTAATTTAACAATTTCGAAGATTACACATCCATTTTCACTCCCAGAAATACTATTACTATCCCAAATTGGTTTGCCAATTACGGCTTATGGTTTATGAGGATTGATTGAGTATAAAGCTCAATCTTTCCTAATCATATTTAAATTGATATTATTAAAAAACAAACATTTAGAAACTACTGTATAAGATCTATGGAACCGCAAGGACCAAACTCAAATGCGATAAATTTTAATTTCAGAAAATAAAAAGGGAATTACGTTGACTAGTTGACAACATGAATAGTAAATTGGCAAACCATGTAGGTATGGAAAGGTATGACTTATCCAGAAAGATGAAGGGACAAAGTAAGAGACTAACCTGGCTCAGCAAGTGTAGCCCCAGCCTGAAGACAAGCCCTCAACACACGGTTCAAGCATGTTTCGCTCCCATGACACTGAAGCTCTATCACATCTTCTCTAGTGTATGATTTTGGAGCTAGCATGGGAACCATCAAAACCTTTTCTTTTTCAAAAATATAACCAGAACTATGATGATATAGGATTCATAGATATACTTCCTTAATTAAATGCTAAACATGTCTTACCAGTATAGGAAATTCACAAAACATTACAATAATCCATTTTTTTTCACACCTTCACAAATTAATGATTTTACATTTGAATGCATGGGTATTTATAGAATAGAAATAGCCATTGAGTGTTAACATATCTTAATAGTACTGTTACAACAATTTTAGGACTTAATTCGACTGAACTCACAAAAATCCTGGGACTTTACTTATGAGCAACTTAAAGTTTGAATGATACAATTTAAATTAGACCCAAAATTCTAAAACCATACCTCATCAATCATATTCCCAGTACAATCGAAAACAAAGCCATACTCCACAACATGGCTTTTGGGCCTCCACTCAGAGGTACGATCCTTGAACTTCTTCATGGAACGAAAAATACTGCCAACAATTGAAACAGAGGAAGGACCAGAAAGCCGGACAATCCCAACAGCAGCAGGTGGACCACCCAAGGAAGTGACAATGGCCGCTATGGTGCTTGAG